TGCCCTTAGTGATACAAAGAGATCTCAGATATTGGTAGGAGTTAGTATAATGGAAACTGAGGTCACAAAAAGACATATTGTTTTCCTGCAGTAATGTAGCTGGAGGGTTGAACGAAAGGTCTAATTTGCACTGCAGAAATAATGCAGTTTGACACTGCTTTAACTATCATGTCTCAGTGACATGGAATTCTGAGATTTGTAGCTTTGTGAAATATTTAGCTTTCTCTGTCAGAGAGCTCTAGTGCTACAAACCAGAAATCCCAGGATAGCATTCAGTCATGGCATTTAAAGCGGTGTCAAAATGCATTATTCCTGCAGTGCAGATTAGACTTCTGTCTGAGGAAATAGACGAACGGGTCTGGAAGCCACAGTCAAGAAGAAAAAGAGTGGTGATTCAGGATAAAAAGAAATACTAGGGACTAACAGTAGTCTATCCACTCAACAATAGCTAGTATTTACTTATTTATAATCAGTATTTTCATGCTGCCTTTCCATTATATTCCCATGCTGTTTCTAAAAGACTGAAATAACAAATACAAATACAATATATGTATAATGAAATAGATACCACCATAAAAAGCAGCATAAGGCGCAACAATTAAAATTATATATATATATATATATATATATATATATATATATATGGGGTTTTTTTGGGGGGGTAGTTTTTCACTCCAGTCAAAAGATCAGTAAGGCCAACATGAATGACTCTCTATGGACACAGCATTCCCCAGCAGAGGCATCACCACCAAGAAGGCCCTCTGTCTCATAACCACCTGTTTGTCTCATTTCAGATGATGGCAGCAATCTGCAGGAAGGGTTTTATGTATAGGACACATGGCTGATCAAGTATGACTAGACTGCCACCATTGGGTAGGACATTTTGTTAATATAGACTGCACTAATTCATCTTTAGTTAGGCAGAACAGTTAGTGTGAATGGTTTAGCAATTCCTTTCAGTGGCAGAGAAAACCTAAATTATACCATTAAGTGCCTGTGAAAAATAAAAATGGGTTGTAACCTGTCTCCCATATATTTCTACATTTCTTCCTCAACTTCTCTATTCATAATTAATGCCTCTCTTTATCTTGTTCCTTTTGACTATCTTTGTTCTTCACAAGTTAAATTATTTACTACCGCCTCTTCTTTTCATTTAAGCTCTCTTTATCTTGTGAGCTGCGTTCCTTTATTCTGAAATTTCTGCTGTCTAAATGCATAATCAGATGACATCCACTACCATATAACTTAAAAATCCCAGTGCATTTGTGAAAATCATTTAACTGTGTATTTATTTGATGGTAAGATATGTCATGCAGATACAGAGCTGAGATACTTCAGAGCGGTATGAATTAAAAGGTCATGGTCTTGAAACCATCACTGCAAGAAGCCTTTATACATCCCCCCTTTCATCCACAATGGGCTTTCCCTACCAAAAGATGTAATTTAGCAGATTAACCATTTTAACCAGCTAGGAAATGAAACAACAATTGAAAAAGAGACCAATAACCTGAGCATGCTTAATAAATACTACATTCACATGTTTTCAAATGTTGATATTAACATATCTTCTTGAACATATTTAAGACATGACAGAACATATCCTCACAGTTTATGACCTACCAATGTAAATACAGCTCAACAGCATATACGTATGTGTGTTGCCAGTTGGTTGACAATCCCGTAGCAGATAAACCAGCTATCTGATGGACTTGGAATAACATCCAAAATCCACAAAATAGTGACACCTTTGTTCAGCCAACTCAAATGTACAAAATACATGATGCA